GTGTCCCAGGGCCGCCTGGGGGCTGGAGGGTGGCTCTGTGGACTGGGAGCGCCCTGGCCTCTGTCCTCTGGGGCGCTGCTTGTCTGTCTGCGCGGCAGCTCTGCACTGGGCCCCCTGGGTGACTGACGGAGAGCTGGCTTCTGAGGGCACTGAGTGTCCCTGGCCCCGGGGTTGGGGGGCAAGTCTGGCTGGAAATCAGGCATCAGGTCCCTTGCAGGCAAGTGCTGGCTGACCTCCGTGGACTCCTGAGAGAGGTGGTGTGAAGAAGGCGAGGCTGCAGGTGACAGGCATCCCTGGGGGACGTCCAGATTTGGAGGAGAAGGGGGGGAGGGGTGGGAAGAGGTGAGGATGGAAACAGTGGAGGTGTCCTCGTGTGGCTGTCTCCTCTCGCAGTGCAGCGTCCAGTGAGCCCCTCGCACCCTACGACACCTTGTGTGCTCTTCCTCTTGAAGCTCTGCATGGTGTCACGTGGTTCACAGGAGAGGCGGACAGTGGGTGCTGGTTATTGGGTAGAGACGGGGCAAGATGCCTGGCTGGACCCTTCCTTCCCAGTTCCCAGAGTTCCCTGAGTCAGAGCTGACGGGGAGATACCTCCTGCGTATCAATAGCATGCAGCAGGCAGAATAAAGTGCATCCCCGTGACGTTACGGTGGCTCAGAGCCAGCGAAGGACACGGAGCTCTGTTTGGGTTCTCTGGCCTTGGAGTCCTTCATCCACCTGAGGCAGGGGCCCAGTTAAGGTCCTTAGGTCCCCAGCCCTTGTCCCCTTCCTTGATCAGGGCCCTGGTGCCAGGGAGGGTGGCAGGACAAGGTTCAGGGACCAGGAGAATCAGGAGGCAGAGCCAGAGCCACCCTTGGTCCTCAGGGTTGCTTCGGGCACGTGGTGAAGCAGGACCCGACTCTGAAAACAGTGTCCAGGATCAGAATCAAACACATAAAAAACGAAAAATAGCTGCAAAGTAGAATCAGCCTCTGTCCATCAAGAGAATGCTGGTGAGGAGAGAAGGAAGAATGTCCTTTAAATGCACATTCACAGGAGCATTTTCCTCCTCAGCTCAGCTCTACAGATACATACTAAGATGTTTATTTTTTCTTCCCTCTCTCCCTTCCAAAATGACTTTTTTATCTTTGTCAAATAGGAAAAGGTTATTTCGGGATGTAGAGAAGATTTAAAGAATAGATCATGAATTGAACTGAAACCCAGCCCTGTGCAGGCCACTGGGCCATGCTTCTGGCCCAGCTGCTGGTCCTTCTGTGCCCAGCGCTGGAGGCCCCCCTCGGGACTGCGGGGCTGGGTGCAGGGGTGCTTACAGCAGCTTTTTAATATCAAAGAACCCTGTTTTTTTGAAAATGAAGCTAGATTTATTTTAAAACATTTAATGAAGTCATTAGTACATTAACTTAGAAAATGTGGATTCAAGAAGCTCCTCAGGCATCATAGAGGAGTAAACCTTGGACAAATAATAGAGGGAGGAGGAAAGCCCGCTTCACCCAGAGGCAAGCAGCTGACCTTTGGCTTCTGTTTAGAGCAGGGCTTCCCCTGTGTGAGGGTCCTGGAAGGTGCTATGGCTAGCTGCGGAGGCTGGAGGCTGAGGCTGGGAGGGGTGGGTGGCAGGTGCAGGGTCACCTGCAGGTCCTCCTGTGAGTTGAGAGTGAGCTCCAGCTGTAGAGATCTGTGAGGCAAAGCCTCGAGGTTCGGCACTAGGGAGCTCGTGAAGGGTTTGGAAGCTTCGACTCAAATGACGGTCATAGTGATGGTTTGAATTTACCTTTTGAGGCACCTGTCCTCGTAGCAGCCCGTCCTCAGAGGTGCTGGACTGCAGCCTACGTGGGTGGGAAGGAGATCACGTACCTCTGGCGAACTTCTCTGCTCGTTATAATTTTTAAAATTACCTGGGAGTCGGGTGCATTTCTGTGATGTCGTTGCACATGTGGTTAGATGTGGTTCGTGTCCTCCAGCTGGTAACCACGTGATTTCTTCTTCTTCTTTTGGCATATGCTTGTTATTCTGAAAATGGGCTGAGGGTTCGTGTTGGTGTATTGGAACGGCGCTTCTTTACGGCAGCAATAAAAATGACAATGCAGATCCCTTTATGAACCCGAAAGCTGACAGAGGCATGAGAACGTGGTTATGCTGAGATGCTCGATGGGCATGAGGGAGAGACAGCGTGCAGCCCCCAGCCTTCCCTCTGTGTGGAGCGCTGGGTCATCAGGGCTGTGCTCTGTGGGGACGGTCCCTTCCTGCCCAGGATGAAGGCTGGCATTGAGGTTGAAGTCAGTTGCCAACTGGGCTAAGGTAATGTGAAGAGATTCTCCAGGGCAACGGCGCATCCTGAGATTTGCATGAAGAGCCGATCCTGTTACCTAGTTTGCTGTTTTTTGCCAAATGCAACTGTTTCCCCGAGTCTTGTGTAAATTAAGTGTGTGGAATGCAAACGTTGCTGACTCAGCCCTGTGGCACCCTGTGGGACACTGAGGGGCCTCTCCTGCACCCTGCGGTTTGGCTTTACCACCCATTCTTACAGCAGTCTGTCTGTCTGACACTCTTCCCCGTGAGTGTGAGCCCCTGCACACACCCACGAGCGGAGAACAGGTTGTGCAGAAGGAGTTTCCTCTCACTGGTCCCTGAGCCTGGGGTTAGAACACACACGAGCCCGTTCCCAGCTGCTGAAGTTCGTTCTTGGTTGCTTATGGAGATAATGCGAGTGTTTTGCGGGACTCCTTTTACTCCTGAAATCACAGCAAAAAACGCAAGATGACAACTGTTGGAAAGCAGAGCGACTCTCAGGCAGATGACTCAGGGTGGTGCCACATCCTCTGAAGAGCTGCCTCTGCCCTCCCTCTCCCTCTTCTCTCCCTTTGATCTCCGTTTTCCGCCCCGCCCCCCCGCCCCCCTGCCTGTGACGTCCACTGTTGCTTTGGCCTGAAGCTTTGTTTTCCAAAGCTGCATATTTGATGATTCCCTATAACCCCAGACTCCCACTAGCTCAGTCTGTTTTCCGTTGCTATAACAAAATATTGTAGGCTGGATGGGCACTTTATAAAGAAAAGAGGTTTATTTTTCTCGTGGTTTGGAGGCTGAAAGTCCACTGTTGCACGCCCTCACCTGTGTGTTCTCAGGTGGGCTCCCCCGGCTGTGTCACAACACGGCAGGGAGGGAAACAGCTTGTGTGTGGAGTGGCCTTGCTTTGAAACAACCCACCCTCGTGAGAACTGATTAACTCTGTAAAACCTGCATTAATGCCCCCCAGGCGGTGCCCGTGTGACCCAACTGCACGAGGCCCACCTCATAACGGTTCCACCAACTCGGCAACACCCCCGCTGGGGCCCCAGCGTCCAGCAGTGAACTCTGGGGACATGGTCAGGCCGTACCCCAGCCGCTCTCAGGCCCATGGCTTCCTGTCTAGGTCGCTGCCTTGGTCTCTTCCTGCTTCTGTGGAGCTCTTCTGCCCCTCGTGTGTCCTGGTGGCCACGCACCCTTCGGGTCTCTGAAGCAAAGCTCGCTTCTTGGAAGAGAAGTCAAGATAGACGAAGGTCCAGCTCAGCGTGTCCCGGCCACTCAGCCGTCGGACCTGGGCCTGGGTCCCACAGCTCAGCTGTTTCTTTGCGTGATATCCAGCGTTCCAGGCTCTGCCATGTCCTCTCATTGGGAAGGACAGCTCCCACCTAGTGGTCAGGTTGCCCGGCCTTGGTGGAGGCCCCACCTGCCCCAGGTGTTCTGATACCTTCCTAAGCGTCTTCTGTCTCCCGAGCCTGGGGGAGAGCGCCGTGGCTTGTCAGCGCTGTGGAGAGCGCACCCCTGCTCTGTCCCGCCTCTCCCTGTGAGGCTGGGAGCTACGGGAGGAGGGGGGTGGGAGGGACTGACCTGCCCAGTCCCAGCAGAATCCGTGTCCAGGGGAAGAGAGGGGAAGGAAGAGCCATCCGAATATGGAATGATGAGTTTCCTGGTGAGCATTGTCCAGGGTGCTAGGGGGGACTTAGGAGGAGACTTGTATTTGAGCTCTTTGACGATTAGTAATTTGATCTGCATAAACATCATCAAATAACTCAGTTCATTAAGTAGAACTCAACTATTTTTTAAACTTTTTTTTAGTTGCAGAGGGTTACACAATATCTTTGTTTATTAATTTACTTTTTATGCGGTGCTGAGGATCGAACCAGTGCCTCCCACATGCTAGGCAAGCGCTCTGCCACTGAGCCCCAGCCCCAGCCCCAGCACACACTGCTGTCCAACTATTCTAACAAACTCTTACAGAATAAACAATGAAGCAGCAGTGTAAAGACTACTCATGGAAAGGCATCCAGCGCCTTGTTAGGGGGGTTCTTCTTCCTGCCCAGGACAGTGTGAGCCACCCAAGAAATTAAAAGTCTAGAATAATTAGTGAAGAACAAAAGATTGAGTCTGAAAAGATAGTTTTAAAGGGAGCCTGGAGCGCCTGATAGATCCAGCCCACACAGGAACTGGAGCTGGAGAATTAGAAAATGATTCCCGTGGTTTATTTAATGGGGTCCATCAAAGTCAGGGGTGAGGTTTCAGGGGTGGAGTCTTGCAGTCAGCAGGTTGATTGGCATCTTGGCAGGTCACACCCCTTTCTGAGGCTGTGTGGCTGCAGCAGGCCACCCCGTCTCTGGTGCTGTGTGGGACCTGGGGCAGAGCTTGAATAGGGCTCACCATGTGTCTGAGCAGTCAAGAGGAAATGTCCACTGGAAGTTCCCAGGCACCAGATTTTCCTATTCACTAGGCCGCGGTGCCAATGTAGTCCACACACAGCCCATGATGGCTCTCGACAGCTACTTACACTTTTAAATATTTAGTTTACAAAGAGAAGTTAAATAGATGAATTTAAGTTCTTATAAATTTCCGCTTCCTGCATCAAGGACCTAGGTATTAGAGCAGAAACCCTGCACATACTAGAAGAAAATGTAGACCCAGCTCTCCAACATGTCAGCTTAGGAACCCAGTTCCTCAATAAGACTCCTGAAGTGCAAGAAGTAAAAACAAGCATCAGAAAATGGGACGGTGTCATACTAAACAATAATCAAGAGCATAAAAGGGAGCCAACAGAGTGGGAGATCTTTACCACCTGCACTTCAGGGTAATTTTCAGGGTATATAAAGAAAAGAACTCAGAAAACTTAAAAAAAAAATGAGCAAAGGAACTGAACAGACACTTCAGAGAAGAAGAAACATGAAGGGTCAACAAATATAGGAAAAAATGCTCCATGTTTCTAGCATTTGAGAAACACAAATTAAAAACACACTGAGAATGGTGATTATCAAGAATATAAATGATAAGAAATTTTGTTGAAGACCTGGGTGCTCTCTTACATTTTGTTGGTGGAACTGAAAATTAGTGCAACCACTCTGGAAGGTGGTATGGAGATTCCTCAAAAAACTAGGAATGGAACCGCCATATGACCCAGGTATCCCACTCCTTAGTGTATATGCCAAAGATCAAAATCGGCATAGTAGAGTGACAGTGCCACATCAGTGTTTATAGTAGGACAAATCATAATAGCCAAGCTATGGAACCAACCTAGGTGCCCTTCAACAGATGAATGGACAAAGAAAATGTGGTATGTATACAAAATGGAATGTTATTCAGCCTTAAAGCAGAATGACTTTATGACATTTGCCATCAAATGGATGGATCTGGAGACTATCATGCTAAGTGAAATAAGCCAATCCCCAAAAGCCAAAGTTCAAATGTTTTCTCTGACTTTTAGGAGCTAACCCTCAATAAAGGGGGATGGATTTGAAGGGAAGAGTAGAAGTTCAGTAGATTAGATAATGGGGGATGGAGGGAACGAATGGGGAATAGGAAAAGGAAAGACGGTGGAATGGACCTGTCATAATCTTACCATGTGCACATACGAAAACAACCCAGTGAATCCGCCATCTCTACATCACAAGAATGAGATACATCCGTGCTTGTATAAGTATGACACATCCCGTGCTTGTATGTCAAATTGGATTCTGCTGTCATGTGTAACTAAAAAGAATAAGTAAAAACTAAGTAAATGTCCACTTCCTAGTGTTCAAATAGTGGAATTATATTTGTCACAAATGAATTTATATCTACCTTGACTTAAAAAAGAAAAGCATGTACAAAGTCAGTGCCTATAGGCTATTTCAGAAAGTTGATTTTTGAAATCTGTTGTTGATGATTTTGCAGGAGAATCATGAAGAAGGTCTCCATGGAGCCATCTGAACGCCTGGCCAGTCTCCAGGCCCTGTGGGACAGCCAGACTGTGGCAGAGCAGGGCCCCTGTGGTGAGCGTGGATTTTAAAACCAGGACGTAGCAGCGGGTGGACGTCCTGGGGGGAAGTCGGTCTCTTCCTGGCTTGCTACCGTAAAGGTGCAATTAGCTTAAGGTGTAATCAGCACCGCCCAGACTTCAGTTTGGTGGACAGGAGTCCTGTACTTAGGCTGCATGGCGTCCCGCTGTGTGCTCACTATAGAACAGGGAGGTCTGCCGGTTCCCCCAGTGGAGAGGACAGTCAGTACCGTCAACGGCAGCCATACTTCAGCTTGTAAAATTTAACTTAAAAATCATTTTGCTGACACCTGTCAACATTGTAACGCTTCTGTCTCACATTCAGGTGGTTTTTCTCAGATGTACGCCTGCGTGTGTGACTGGCTGGGATTTGCCTACAGGGAAGAAGTACAGTGGGTAGGTGCTTCTGCCTACGTGTGCACACAGCTAGCTGCTTTCTCTTTTCCCACCACTCTTTTTTTTTTTTTTTTTTGCTTAAAATCTTCCTTCCTTGAATTACATGAAGTCTGCCTATGTCATTGTCTGACTCTGAGTCTGTCCTGCTTCTTTGATGTCTACGTGGATTAACAATGTGCCTGATTGGCATCTCATAGGATGTGGATACGATTTACCTGACACAAGACACCAGGGAGTTGAATTTACAAGACTTCAGTCATCTGGACCACAGGTACGCCCGTTCTTTTTTCTTTTTTCCTCTTCCTAAATTGATTTTCAGAGCCAGAGCTCGTTTTTGACATTTAGGGAAATGCATGATCCCCAGAGAGTCCTTGTATAAGGGGAATCAGAAGAATCTGGGACTCTCTGGATTTTCCCCTTCAAGTACTGGTTTCAGGCATGTTTGTCACCGTGTACGGTTTGTGGAGGTGCTTGTATGTACCAAACTGAACTCACGTTTAGGAAATGTGCTGCATTTCACCATGAAAGAGGTACGATTCCTGGTTCTTATACTACCTTACGAAAGTCAATTTGATCTACTCTGTATGTTTTACCTCCTTACCCTTTGATTTCTCTGATGAAGTTCTGTCCTAAAATCCTAACAAAGGCCTTTTAGTTCACCACTTCCACATGAATTGGAGACCTGTCGGTTGGGCACCTGTGCATGTGTTGGTGCAGATCTGTTTGCCAATATCTGACTTGGGAGTTGAATAGTGAATCTGTGAACCTGTTCCAAATCATTTGGGAGACTTTCTGGTTTCCCTGTTGTTGGTTGACTATAAGGAGGCCTGTGGCTCCTGGGATCCAGGTCCCAGAGAAAATCTCATTTGGTTCCCTTTTCTCTCAGGGAAGGCAAACCTGTCCAGTTGGTTTTGCTGACTGACAAAACCTCTTTGGCTCTCCTCCAGAATGCCTGTCCAGATGCCTCATCCTGGCCCACCCATCTCTTCAGTCCTCGGTATCTGCTGCTTACGTAGGTGGACACGGGCAGTCCTGATGTGGGTACCCCGTGCACACTGTATCTCTTCTCTGTTTGGAATCGAGGATATTTGGGAGCGCAGCTGTACCTTTTCTGTCATTTGGACCACTGCAGTGTTCCAGGGAATCGATTTTGGTTGGGTTTCTTAGGACCACTGTCTTGACTAGGAGAATATCATTGGAGTTGGATTTTCCATCTACCTATCAGGAAATGCAGAGTTGCTCCCTGGCACGTCCTGCCCTGAGGTGGGGGTGGAAGGTGTGGACTTTGTGGGCTCACTGCCTCTGTGCACGGCCTGCTCGGTGGAGGACCGAGGAGCAGACTTGGCCTGTTGGCCGCATGGGGTCCAGCCCCTGGGTCTCAAGGTTGGATTCACTTCCTTTCTTGGAACAGGCAATTTTCTCCTGCTTAGGACTGTTCTTTTCATAGGAGGGAGACTTCTTACTCAAATTTAGGCCAGATGTTTCCTATGGAGCTCATAAAAAAGTGAACTGAGAAAGAAAAAGGGAAGATGTTCTACTCTGAAAGCATTTCCCATTAAAACAAGAATTGCCTGGGGAATAGATGGGAATTTGATTTCCTGCATCTCAGCCCCCTGTGCCCCTTCTCCCTTCTCAAGCATCTAGATGTGAGGGTGACAGTGGTCATAACAGATTCATCCTGTCCATCTATAGGAAAGGAACATATTTAGAACTTGGAAAAGCGTCCACTCAGTTCTTTTTTCTGTGGTTCAGAATTCTGTGTAAGTGTGTTCTTTTGATTTTCTGGTTTACGAGTCAGTGGGCCAACAAGAGGCGTAGACTGGAAAAGGCTTAGTGACACATTCCTCATGATGGCTCCAAGGTCTGTGAGCTGCAGGGTTTAAAGTGTCATTATGCTGTCGTTGGAGTGACAGGGAGTGATGAGGGCAGAGGTCACGGCGAGAGCTTACAGCTTTCAACGCTTGGATTGCTCTTGTTCCAGGAAGGTTTTAAGAGGCGCTAATCCCATCACGCTCGGAGGCCCCAGCGACATGCATCACTGGGCTGAACTTGGCTTCCGAGAGCCCTGTGTGCAGACTCGGGCCTTTGTGTTGGCTGTTGCTTCCGCATCAAGGTGACACTCTTTTTAAAACTATTTTCTTAGTTGTAGATGGAAATAACTCGATTTTTTTAATGTGGTGCCGAGCATCAGACCCGGTGCCTCACATGTGCCAGGCACTGAGCCACAACTCAGCCCCAAGGTGACATACTTGAGCAAGATGCCTCCAGGAAGGAGTTCCAAGGCTGGGTGACATCTGGCTTGTCCTCAGGGCACTGGTGGAATTCTTTTCTAGTCTGGGCTCCATTTGTTCTTGCTCTTGTTTAAGAAGGAAGAGATGGTGTTTGGGGTGTGAGCCAGGTGTGAATAGCCTTGGCTTCTGGCCATTTCCCAGTTTCCCTGTGGCTGGGTGAGGTGGACTCTGTGGGGCACAAGGTGACACTCTGGGGCATGTGAATCAACACCAGAGCATGTCTGTGGGGTGTTTTTTCTTACTGGTCCTTGTGTCAGTGTTACTCTGGGCCTAACAGTACGGGACACACGTGTTTCCCAGGTGAACACACGGGCGTGCCGGAAGTACTGTGCTGTTAGGAGCGAGTGGTCGAAGCCTCCAGAGGCCTCTCCTCTTGACCTCCAAGACTGTCCATGGGCTGCTGCAGGCAGTCGCCTCCTTCACAGGGTCTGCATGGTTGGTCCCGCTAAGGAGCCGGCAGTACTCAGGACGCACCTCTGCACAAACAGCGTGCCAGGAGGCAGAGCCAAGTTAACATTGTTAACTTTGGAAAGCTTTCCGACTCCAGTTTTCAATCTAGATATCACTGTCACTG